CCCCCCCCCCCCCCCCCCCCCACCCCAATCCTCTTCTTAGCTGTAGATGCTGGTCACTTTGACGGTTCAAAAACTTAACCAAAAAGGAATGCCGGTTGGCATCGCACTTACACACGCAGAACTTCCAGCGCAGAAAAGTATTTTGACACCATGGCTGGGCTCCGGCAGATTCTTCCGTAAAGTCTCACAAAAATGATATGGTACATTAATTTTTTGTGGGGACTATATTATAAAATAACTCTATGTTACCTTTAATCATTAATCATGAATTAATATAATAAAGTTTTTTCTTCATTTTATGTTTTATTCGGATTAAAAAAAAATTTAAAATAATATTTTTTTCATACTCAAAGCCTATTAGACAATCGCAGCAAAAGTGATTAAGGGTGTCAAAATGTAACACAACGCAAAGTTAGAAGATTTGAATCTTTTTTAAGTCACCTGTTTTGTAAATGAATTGACCTGACGTGATATAATTAATAAACAAATAGAATATGAGTAAAGCCAATAAAAAAAATGCGCTATACTAATCATTCATATATCAGCTGTATAAGACTGTTATGACACAAATTAATAAATAAATCGAATATAAATTAAATATTTGTTAAGACAAATTTGTTAATGCTAGACATGAACGCGTTTCAGCCGACACGAGTCACAGACCTGCAACAAACGTTTGCTGATTTTGCATCTCTCTTGACCTTGAGGTCGACACTATGGGACTAGGAGGTCCAGTGAGATTTGCATACTAATCGAAGCAAAAGGTTCGGCATCAGGTCAGGGTGGCCCAATTCATTTGACAAAAGGATGGCCCATCATCTGCCCATGGGACTGGCCCCAATTTAATCTACATTTTTTCGAGTTTTGTCATGGAAATGGGCCAGTTGTTCCACCCATGAAGCCCAAAATAGAAGGTTCATAGTTCTAACAGGCGGGCTTTTCAAAGCCCAGAGCCCATGCCCAAAATTTAACTTTTATTTTAAGGAAAAACGGAAATGGGTACAAAAATTTAAATTTATTTGAATTAAAATACAACATGGAAACTTATCTGGAAAATAGTGCAAAACCGATTTGGTCCCAAGCGTCATCTTCGGCTCCATTGAGGAAAAAGGAAGAAAGTCAAGAAGCATAGATCACATACCTTGGTCTTCGTCAAATTTAAAAATCAAAAATATTGTAAAGCTTTGGAAGACAAGAATCCCTGGGAAGTCATTTATGGATTACAATTTCTATTAGATTATTTTTCACATTTCAAGTTTAAAAATTTTTAAAACTTTTTTGGTGGAACTGTTGGTATATGTCGTTGATGTAACTCTTTGTTAATATTGGATGATGTGACTGTTAGGTATAATACTTTGGTTTAATACTACAGGTCATTAGTTTATCTGTTTAGTGTCCCTATATGATGTATCTTGTTGGTACAATTTCTTAGTTCACCTAATTTGGTGTGTATAATTGATGTAATCATGTGGTGATACTAAATAGAGTAACTCTTTGATCCTACTATACAATTGAATGATGCAATGAATTGGTTAGTGTAACTATTTTCAGAACACATGAATTACTATTTAGTATATTGTAACTAATTGGTGTAATTGCCTGGTCAAATTGTCTTTAAAACATATGAATAATTATTTGTGTACTATAAGACAATTATAATTGGTTGGTGTTGATATTTCAGTAACTGTTTAGTGTAATTTTTTTCATTACACATGAATAATTATTTGGTATATCATAAGACAATTCTAACTGATTGGTGTAATTGTTTGGTCTAACTATTTTCAGAACACATGAATAAATTATTGGTGTATCAAAAGGTAATTGTAACTAGTTTGTATCGTATATAATCAATGACTTTTTAGTGTAACTTTTTTTAGACCAAATGAATAATTGTTTGATGTATCATATGACAAGTGCAAATGGTTAGTGTAACTGATTAGTGTAATTGTTTGTTGTCGCATTGATATCAAATTATAACGAAGTAACTAATTGGTGTAACTCTATGCTTTATTTGCTTTTGGCATTAATAGGGCATTGTGCGAGACTTATCAATACATAATAGAGTTTACCATTACAACTATGCAAAGAGATACACCACAGGTGTTGTTTTCCTAAATTATAAGCTCCACGGTAATATGTCTATAGAGAATGACTGAAAAATAATGCAACAAAGATAAAAAATAGCATGATATTAATAAAAAAATAGTTAATAGACTTTTATTAATTTTAAAAAGTAATCCAATCACATAGGCTCATTATAAGTATTCTTATTGTGGCTTCCTAATCGTCCACAATGCCCACATCGAATTCACCAAAAAAGTTCCCCCTTGACCTTATTCTACATTTTTTGTGTCGATCTTTGTAGTTTTTGTCCTCTAGGTAACAAATGTCTCACCATCATATTTGTATAAAAAGCAAAACTATTTCTTCCATTCCTGAGTATGGCAATAAAAAAATTAATGACATTTTATCTCATAACATAAATAGTTACACCAAAGAGAATCAAACAGTAACATTATTTAGATATTTTATAAACATAAAATTTTGCTCTATTTTTTTGCAGAACGTAAAACATACAGTTTCATCATATTATGGTGTACAATTGAAAACAAAGAAAAAATTGACAAAAAACATATTTCTAAAAAAAAGAGTTTCACCCATGATAATCCTAAAAAAACTGGTTCACTCATGATAGCCCTAAAAAAATAGTTTCACCCGTGATAATCCTAAAAAAAAACGGTTACACGTCAAAAAAAAATATCAAAAACCATAGGAGCTGCTATGATTTTTTGCAAAACATAAAACATATAGTTTCATCCTATTAGGGTGTTCAATTGAAACCAATGAAA